AAGAAGTTTGATTATGTTATAGTAATTATTAGAATAATACAACATTAAGAAAGCCAAGATAACAAATTATGTATTTAGACTTAAAGAATAAAAAGAAGTAATTAATGAAAAATCTTTAAAAATTAGAGGTGCTAAGTCTAGGAGTTGCCTTCTGGAAACTAATAACAAATACATGAAGAAAAGAAGAAGAGTATATAAGTAGTTAATATCAAACCAAACTCACAGCTCTCCAGTTGATTCTGACTCATAGCAACCCTATAGAGTTTCCAAGGCTGTAAATCTTTATGGAAGTAGGCTGACTCATCTTTCTCCTGGGGAGAAGCTGGTAGATTTGAACCACTGAACTTTTGGTTAGCAGCAGAATGCCTTAACCACAGTCCCACCAAAAAAAAAAAAAAAAAACACCAAAAAAAAACTCACTGCCCTTGAGTCATTTCAACTCATAGTGACCCCTCCTTGGGTTTCCGAGGTGGTATCACTATGGAAGTAGATTGCCCCATCTTCCTTCCGAGGAGTGGCTGGTGGGTTTGAACTGCCAGCCTTCTGGTTAGCAGTCAGGTGCCTTAGCCACTATGCTACCAGAGCTCCCTTAAATGGTTTAGAGGACCCATAAAAGAAATAACTAGGTTGTCACAAAAATTTTTGTTGTAGATGCATTCTGGGTGTTGTTGGATCTCCTGACTCATGGTAACCTCATGCACAACAGAACAAAATGCTGCCCAGTCCTGTGCCTTCCCTATGATGGATCACAGATCAATTCACTGTCATCCATAGGCTTTAATTGGCTGATTTTCAAAGGTAGATGGCCAGATCTTTCTTCCTGACTATGATTATAGCCTCTCTCGAAATATAAAGTGACTTTTCATTCAATTCATCCCACATTTAAGGAAATTTTGTGTTTATTTAGTCATATCTCTGTAGAATCTCAAGTTAAGAAAGACTCATATTATCATATTTTTTATTAATTTTTATAGATGAAAAAATAACTTGTCAAAGTCACATAAAATTTCTTAGAACTGTTATAAATGCACTGCTGTCGAGTTGGATCCAACTCATAGTGACCCCTCCTTGGGTTTCCGAGGTGATATGACTATAGAAGTAGATTGCCCAATCTTTGTTCCGAGGAGTGGCTGGTGGGTTTGAACTGCCAGCCTTCTGGTTATCAGTCAAATACCTTAGACATTACTTCACTAGAGCTCCCTAGAACTCTTATAGGGCTTACCAAACCAAACCAAACTCACTGCCATGGAATCTAACCCAACTCATAGTGACCCCTTCTCAGGTTTTCAAGGCAGTATCACTAAGGAAGTAGATTGCCCAGTCTTCCTTCTGAGGAGTGCCTAATGGGTTTAAACTGGCAGTCTTCTGGTTAGTAGTCCAATGCCTTAGGAACTTCACCACCAGAGCTCCCTGTTATAGGTCTTATGTGGTCAACCTACAAAGTAGAACCTAAGGACTCAGGCTAACAATGAGACATGCAAGAGAGTATGGTGTTGAGAAAATGCTTGTATGGACTTTTACAAGAACAAGAAGTAGACAACATAAAAGGTCAAAGGGAAATGCAATGTCACACACCAATATGAACAAATTAAACTATAACCTTGTGACTAGTATTTTAGGATTGAAAGCAGATGTTCCTATCCACATGCCTAAGTATGTGTTTTGATTATTTTTACTTTTCAACTGACATTTTTGGGAGAAAAAGAATTCAGTCATTATCTTGTAAGTTTTGGTAGTTATCTTTCCACTGTTTTCTAGCTTCCGTCTTCCTTTATGAAAAGCCAGCTTGTAGTACTCATTCCTTTGAAGGTATTACTGCCTTTTGGTTGTTATTGTTTGTTTTTATTTTTAAGTAAATTTTCTATTTTTAGATAATTGTCTATTCATATACAGTTGTTGAACAATAACAACAATAAAAAAAAAAAAAACACCTACACACAGATTCCATATACCTTTTACCAGTTTCCTTCAGTAGTGGTTGTCATTAAGTGTCAATGAGTGGATTTCAACTCTAGAGACAATGTGACAGATTAGAACTGTCCTAGAGGCTTTTATTGGCTGTAATCATCACAGAAGCAGATGGCCAGTTCTTTCCTGCATGCAGCCACTATGTGGGATAAACCACCAAATTTTTGACTAGCAGCCAACCATTTAGCTGTTTGTGTCACAAAATCACTTTTCCTCAGTGGCACCATCTTGAAAAACTAGAGTACAATTTAATAGCTAATATATAAGAATCATCTCAGTGGCAGTGAGTTGAAGTTTTGGTTTGTATTAAGATTAATATGGTCAAGATATAGAATATTTCTGTACCATAGAATGTCTTTCATTGCACTTTTATAGCCATACCTACTCCTTGGCTATCCCCACCCCTCATAAGATTTGGCAGCCACCAATTTCTTCATTTATATATTTGCTTTCATGTAAAGAATGTTATTTCAATGAAATCTTCTTGTGATAGGTGTGGTCGTGTTGGTTTCAAATCGTAGCAATCTTATGTATAACAGAACAAATCTTGTCCAGTATTACACCAGCATCACAGTTGTTGATTTGTTTGAACACCCTGTTGAAGCCATTGTTCAATTAATGTCTTTGAGGGTCACCCACTATTTTACCAAACATGATGTCCTTCTTCAGGAATTGGTCATCCCCAATAACATGTCCAAAGTAAGTGATAGCAAGTCTTGCCATATTCTCTTCTAAAGAGCATTCCAGCTGTAGTTCTTCCAAGACAAGATTTGTTCTTTCTCCCGGCAATCTGCAGTATATTCAGTATTCTTCACCAACATCATAATACAAATGTGTCAATTCTTATTCCATCTTCCTTGTTCACTGTCCATCTTTTGAATGTATACGACCAAACCAAAACTAAACCTACTGCCATCAAGTTGATTCTGACCCACAGTGATTCCTATACAGTTCCCAAGGCTTAAATCTTTATGGAAATAGATTGTATTATCTTCTTTCCACAGAGAACTGATAGCTTTGAATTTCCAGCCTTTTGGCTGGCAAGCAAATGTCTCAGCCATTGTTGAATGCATATATCTTACCATCTGTTGGATGCATATGAGGAGACCAAAAATATCAAGGGTAGGGTCAGGCACACCTTAGTCCTCAAAGTGATATTTGCTTTTTCACACTTTGCAGAGGTATTTTGCAGATTTGCCCAATGCAATGGGCTGTTTGATTTCTTGACTGTTGCTTCCACTGATGTTGATTGTGAATCCAAGTATAATGATATCTTTGATAATTTCAATGTGTCTCCAGTTTTCATGATGTTTCTCATTGATCCAGTTGTTAGGATTTTTTTTTTCTTTATGTTGAGGAATAGAAGTCATAAATTATGTAAATATGGGGATTGGCTTTATTTTTCCACTTAGAAAAATTCTCTGGAAATTCCTCCAGGTTTATTATAGGCATTAATAATTTATTCCTTTTTTATCACTAAGCAATATTCCATGATATAAATGTAGAGCCATTTATTTAATCACTTACCCATTGGGGTATATCTGGACTGTTTTCAGATCTGTATTACTGAATAAAGCTACTATAAACATTTGTGTACAAGTTTTGTCTGCCTGTAAATCTTTATTACTCTAGAATAAATGTCCAAGGGCTTATTTGTTGGATTTTACTATAGTTGTGTGTGTGTGTGTGTGTGTGTATATATATGTATATATATATGTATATATATACATATATATATTTTTTTAAGATATTGCCAATATGTTTCCAGAATAGCCATTTGCTTATATTTCCAATAATAATATTAGAAATGATCCATTTTCTCTGCATCTCACCAGATTTTGATGTCATAGTGCCTAAGGCAGTTCACTGCTAACCGGAAGGCCAGAGGTTCAAACCTACCACCCACTCCTCGGAAGGAAGGTTGGGCAATCTACTTCTGTAGAGATACTGCCTTAGAAACCAAAGGAGGGGTCACTATGAGTCGTGTCCAACTTGACGGCACATAGCAACAACAACAAATAATTTTTTATTAGCCTTTCTGATAGGTGTCTAGTGAAATTTCATTGCAACTTTAACCTACATTTACCAGTAACTAAAGGTATTCAGCATTTCTCCAGTGGTGTGGAGAATCTTTGCATTTCCTAAATGGCTAGTGATATTTGAGAATTTTTGCATGCACTCAATTTTTTAGCTACTACATTTGTGTAATTTATTATACAACATACTAGAAAAATGAATACCCCCTGCTAGTCTCTCATTTGTTTTCTGTGCCTCAGACACTTTGGCCTTCCTTCAAAACCACCATGATCAAAGGCCAACTGGCTGCCATGCAGTATCCAGCCAACAGGCCTTCTGTTCAAGTCCTTCTCTCCTTCCTTAAACTTTTCCATTCCTAATATATACACCTGGTTACATTCCTTCATCTTTCATTAATCAATATCACTAAATTATCACTCAGAAGTCATTTTCTCCAATTTTCCAAAATAGACCAAGACAGTGCCCTACTGTCAGTCTAGATGAAGTTTCATTAGGAGAGGAATGCTGACACATTCACCTTTTAATTCAAATTATTTATGAATAATTTAATTTAATTATTTCACACAAATAATTTACTATAATTTTATTGGAATGATGAATTTATGCACAAATGAGTTGATTTGAGTTACATTTGACATACATAGAATTTATTTCCTATGATTCTCTTGAACAATAACAACAAAAATCTTCTTGTGTGAAACAATATGTGTATGAACTATTGAATGTAAAATGAATCTGCTTTGTAAATTTGCACCCAAATCATAATAAACAAAAATTTAAAAATCAAGTGTTTCAACATATTTATGTCCTTTAAATATTTTTCTCTATATATATTTTAAAAATCTACTTGCAAATTATGCTAAAGGTTTACAAAATTATTTTCCCTCGATACAAAAGTAGCTTGCAAAATTTTGTGTCTTATAAATAAATATAATAGAAATAAAGCTGCTTGTTTTTCTTCCATTTAAATGCTATTAAGGAAACAATTGACTTACCTGGCCAGGCTTAGAATTTTCACAGACAACAATATCGTATTCCCTGGCAAGTTCGGGTGGATTGTCATTGACATCCAGAACTCTAATACCCACTGTGACATGGCTCAGCAAACCAGGATTGTCTGCAAAACACACAGGGATGTATTTAGTATTTCCATGCACACGCTAGAGTATTGGTTTAAAACAAATCTCCTTAATACTGTACTTGTCTCTAGTTCCACACGCTGCGACAGAACTGTTGACAAAAGACAACTTTATGAAAGCACTCTTGCTGGAACTCATTAACTTAGAGAAAAATGAAAAATGAACACCGAGCCATGACATGAATGCTAAAACGATATTTTGTCATATCAAGGAAATTACATGTTACTCGGGGACTGGAGTGGGAGAAAGTTGTCAGAATTCATTGTATGCTGTCAGAGTTTAAAGAATGAACAATTGCTTTCATCATTAATGTAGGAAAAGCACAGGAGCTGATCATAAAAAAATATATAAATAAACTTTTAAGAAAGTTAAAGGTTTTAAATCTAAATAAACTCAGAGAAAACAGAATGTAAAGTTCTTTACACAAAGTACTATTACCTTCTTATGGGGGATCCACTTTATGTGTGATTTTAAGTTCCATTGGACAAGAAAATAAAGGATACTTTAAATCCAAATACAGCATGGCATCCTATATTACTCTGATAGATATCAAAATAGTATATTTTAAAGTATATGTGCTAAGCTCTGCCGTCTCATTTTTCAATAAATTCGTTAGTTCCAGGACACAATAAAAAAGGCAAATATTTGATACATTTTATATATTAGAGCTATAGTTGAACAGTTCATAACGAGAACATTGAATCATTCTTTTTATCGCCATGTTACTGCCATCCTCTGAGAAATATTCTAAATTAAACTAACAAAAGGCTAATAGATACATCAGTGAAGGTAAAAACGAATCACATGAAGGCAACCAAACCAAACCAAACTACCTGCTGTCAAATTGGATCCGACTCATAGCAACGCCTCCTTGGTTTTCTGAGGTGGTATCACTACAGAAGTAAATTGCCCAACCTTCGGGGCTGATGGGTTTGAACCGCCAGCCCTCTGGTTAGCAGCCAAATGCCTTATGCACTATGCCACTAGAGCTCCCATATGAAGGCAAAGGGGGTATAAAATCACAGAAAGAAGTCTATATATAAAAATCTCTATGTAGAAGTCTATATAAAAAGTCTTTACATAAATATATAAAGACAGAGGTTGACTAAAATTTTTTCCATAAATGATTCTGAAAAATAGAAAATATGAGTGGAACCATAAAAATTAATTACATTAGGTAAAACAAAAAAAATCGTTATCTCAAAGAAAAAAGTAAATGTTGAAATGGTTTTGTCTAAATTTAAGAAACCAAGTAATTACAATTATATACACATTATGCCCAGAAAAACAAAGAAATCGAAATATATTCCACCACTTTATTTATTTATTTATTTATTTATTAAGTAGCCTATAAAATTTTCATACTGATACTAGGTAATACCATTCATGATTAATATTAAGTGTCAATAGCCCAAAAAATAGTAGCAATCCCACCGCATCAGTGTGTAAAATAAATTCTATCTTAACCAGTTTTGTCATAGAAATATTATTTTCAGTCTACCATTGTGGTATGGGTTTTCCAGCCATCGTCTTTGAGACTCCCACCAGATAAGTGGATTGTGCTGTTGTGTCCTCAGGTGCCGGAGTCATCTCCGACTCATAGCGACCCCACGCACCGCAGAATGAAACGCTGCCTGGTCCTGCACCAGCTCCTCAATCCCTGCTATGTTTGAGCCCACTGCTGCATCCACCATGTCAATCCATCTCATTAAGGGCCTCCCCCTCTTTTGTTGACCCTCCCCCATACCAAGCATGACATCCTTCTCCAGGGAATGGTCCTTTCTGATAACATGACCAAAGTAGGTGAGTTGAAGTCTGGCCATTCTCTGTTTCAAGGAGCATTCGGGCCGCATTTACTCCAGGACAGATTCGTTAGTTGTTTTACAGTCCATAGTACTTTCAGCATTCTTCGCCAGGACCACAACTCAAAAGCATTAAATCTTCTTTGGTCTTCCTTGTTTGTTGTCCAGCTCTCACACACATATGAGGTGACTGAAAATAGCATGGCTTGTGTCAGGTGCACCTTAGTCTTCAAGGAAATATCTTTGTTCCTCAGTACTTGAAAGAAGTCCTTTGCAGCCAATTAGCCAGGAATATACATCAGCTTATGTCCTGACTGCTGCTTCCATTGGCATCAAGTATAAAAACAGGCAATGTGAAGTCTTTGACAATGTCAATCTTTTCTCCATTTATCGTGATGCTGCTTATAGGTCCAATTGTGAGGATTTTCGTTTTCTTTATATTGAGATGTAATCCATACTGCAGACTGTAGTCTTCAATCTTCATCAGTATGTGCTTCAAGTCATCCTCACTTTCAGCAAGCAAAGTTGTGTCATCAGTGTATCTTAATGATACTTAACAGGTTCTTAATGATACTTCTTCCAATCTTGATGCAACATTCTTCTTCATATACTCCAGGACCTCAGATTATTTGCTCAGCATAGAGATTGAATAACTGTGGTGAAAGGTTACAACCGTGATGCCCTCCCTTCTTGACTTTAAACCATGCAGTATCCCCTTGCTCTGTTCAGATGGCAGCCTCCTGCTCTATCTACAGTTTCCTCCTGAGTACGATTAATGTTCTGTAATTCCCATTCTTCTCAATGTTATCCATAATTTGTTATGATCCACAAATCAAATACCTTTGCAAAGCCAGTAAAACACAAGTAAACATCTTTCTGGTATTCTTAACTTTCAGCCAAAATCCATCTGACTTTAGCAATGATATCCCTTGTTCCACATGCTTTTCTAAATCTAGTTTGCACCTCTGAAAGTTCTCTGTCAATATATTGCTACAACCATTTTTGAATTATCTTCAGTAAGATTTTACTTGCATGTAATATTAATGACATTTTTTGATAATTTCCACATTCTGTGGGATCACCTGTCTTTGGAATGGGTACAAATATGGATCTCTTCTAGTCAGTTGACCAGGTGGGTGTCTTTCAAATCTCTTGGCATAACTGAGTGAGTGCCTCCAGTCGGGCGTCTGTTTGTTGAAACATCTCAATGGTAATTGCGTCAATTCCTGGGGTCTTGTTTTTTGCCAATTCCTTCACTGCAGCTTCAACTTCTTCTTTCAATATCATTGGTTTTTGATCATATGCCACCTCCTGAAATGGATGAAGATGTACCAGTTTTTTTTTGTACAGTGACTCTGTGTATTCCTTCCATCTTCTTTTGATGCTTCCTGTGTAATTCAACATTTTACCCATATGATCTTTCAATATTGCAACTCAAGGCTTAAATCTTTTCCTCAGTTCTTTCAGCTTGAGAAATGCTGAGTGTGTTCTTCCCTTTTGATTTTCTGACTCCAGGTCTTTGCACATTTCATTATTGTAATTGGCTTTGTCTCCTGGAGCTGCTCTTTGAAATCTTCTGTTCAGCTCATTTATCTTGTCATTTCTTCCATTTGCTTTAGTCACCCTCCACTCAAGGGCTATTTTCAGAGTCTCTTCTGACATCCATTTTGGTCTTCTCTTCTATTTTCTTTTTTTTTTAATGACCTCTTTCTTTCTTCATGGATGATGTTCTTGATGTGATTCCACATTTCTTCTGGCTTTCGGTCATTGGTGTTCAATGCATCAAATTTGTTCTTTAAATTCAGGAGGGGCATATTTAAGGCCATATTTTGGCTCTCGTGCACTTGTTTTAATTGCCTTCAACTTCAAGTTGAACTTGCATATGAACAGTTAGTTGATAGTCTGTTCTACTGTCAGATCCCCGTCTTGTTTTGGCTGAAGATATTGAGTTTCTGCATCGTGTCTTGCCACAGATGTAGTAAATTTGATTCCTGTGAACTACATCTAATGAAGTCCATGTATATAGCCACTGTTTGTGTTGTTGAAAAAAGGTATTTGCAATGAATAAGTTGTTGGTCTTGCAAAATTCTATTATGCAATCTCCAGTGTTATTTCTGTCACCAAGGCCAAACTTTCCAAGTACCGGAGATTCTTCTTTGTTTCTAATTTTGCATTCCAGTCACCTGTGATTATTAACACATCTTGATTGCATGTTTGGTTAATTTCAGACAGCAAAAGTTGATAAAAATCTTCAATTTCCTCATCTTTGGCTTTGGTGGTTGGTGCATAAATCTGCACTATAGGATCTCTGGTAGTGTAGTGCCTAAAGGCACTTGACTGCTAACCAGAAGGCTGGCGGTTCACACCCACTAGCCACTCCTTGGAAGGAAGATGGGGCAATCTACTTCCATAGTGATACTGCCTTGGAAACTCAAGGAGGGGTCGCTATGAGTCGGGTCCAACTTGACAGCACATGACAACAAAAACAAAAACAAAACAAAAAAAAAAAAATTAACTGGCCCTCCTTGTAGGCATATGGATATTATCCTGTCACTGAAAGCATTGTACTTCAGGACAGATCTTGAAATATCCTTTGTGATGATGAATGGCACGCCATTCCTGTTAAAATTGTCATTCCCGACATAGTAGATCATATTGTTGTCTGATTCATAATGGTCAAAATCAGTCCATTTCTGCTCACTAATGCCTAGCATATCAATGTTTGTGTGATCCATTTCATTTTTGACTACTTCCATTTTTCCTAGAATCATACTTCATACAATCCATGTTCTAATTATTAATTGATATTTGAAGCTATTTCTCCTCAATTTGAGTGTTGTCATGTCACCAAATGTAAGTCCTCAAAGCTTTACTTTATCCATATCAGTAAGGTTGGTTCTATTTGGATGATGCAGCTCTTTTCCCGTTGTATTTTGAGAGCCTTCTGACCTAAGGGGCTTGTCCTCTTGCACTGTCTCAGACAATATTTCCAGGCTATTCATAATGTCTGGCCTCACAGGCATAGGCCTTGGGCTACTGATGGTGACTCTGTCTTTCTCTTGTGGTGTTAGAGGAGGTCAGAAGATGTGGCCTCCCTGCCCCTTTGGCAATAACACACGTGAGTAAAATTTTCCGGAATATAATTTTAAAATGGTTGTAGTAGTATAATGATTGGG